TTTGCCACACATCAGAAGTAAATAAGATGAATGCAATAAAAATGCGGAATTCCTATCATTTTGTCGCGACCTTTTGACCCATCAACACTATTCAGCTCTCTAAATTCAAATGTGTTGCAACAAACATAAAGGTTTCAGCAAGTTGCAGCACACCCCCAGTATGATACTGCTTTTCTGGCTTAGAGCAAAAAACGTAACACGACATTGTATGCCAGGAAAATAAATGATTTTGATACCCATATTCATGTTCATTTCAGGATGAAGACTGACGAAATTGGGTGGGGAGAATTATTGAAAGGCACCCACGCAATATCGAACGCACCCGTAGAAGGACAAAAAAAAAGATAAAGGGGTCCATTTAAACATTAGTCTGAAGTAACACCGCTACAATAAGCTCAAAATGGAGAGCAGTAAAAAATATTCCAAATGCAATGAGAGTTAAAAGAAGCCATACGACTGCGTAAGACGAGTTGACGGGATAAGCCATTGTTTTGTTACATACGTATGAATTTTAAGTATTTTGTTGAATTCGCTTTCAACTGGTGGCGACAGCCAGATTTTGGATTTAAAATCAAAGTATAATTTTTAGCTTTGCGCATGACCGGCTACGATGTTCTCGGATTTTCTCCTTCCCAGCTTTTGTAATTCTGATTCGTTCCGTTATCCATCGTAAACACAAACACAGATCATCCCGCCTCGCGCATTTTTTCTGATTTTTACGAAGACATGCATGGAATATATTTCATATACAATTCTTTCGGCGGGCGTGGTATAGTAATTAGTAGCACTGTTGCCGAACAGGGGGCCAAGCTTTTGATTCCTCCAGTGGGACAACCAATCCCTTTACTATCCATTCATTCTTTTCGACAGCAAATTGGCACTCTCATATGTCAAGGAGTTAAACCTGTCAACAGATCGCTTGCACTTTCACAAAAAAGAACCATCAACAGCCTTGTCAGTGGGTGGTTGCTGCTGGTAATTTACTGCCACTCGGGCTACTTTCCGAGTGCCTTCACCTCCTACTAACAGCGAACACGATTGAAGTGTTAACTTTTGACTTCAGTACATGAAACAGCAGATCGCACTAGAGAACTGATATGATCATAAATTTGTGCTATGCATGTTTCAAAAAGACACAGCGTTTCCAGTTGCCTTCCTCCTTCTCCTCTCTACTTCTCATTCTCTTAGTTTCCAGTGCCAAATAAAAAGTAAGTGAATGATAAGTGAGCGGCATAGTATGTCGGCATTGTGTTTGAAGTTGGCGCATGTACTATGCTTCGATGGTTATTCGGGGAGCCTTGCAGACACTCGTCATACACAACGCCTCAAACATTTGTCATGTGCGGGTGCAGAAGTATTCTGCAGAAAAGGTTTTTAAGGCAAAATGGAAAGGTGTGCGTGGAATCAAATTCAACTGCGTGAAGGAAAAGAACACACAAAGAAAAGACTGGAAAAATTTCCCAGTAATAGCAAGCCAACAATGGAACAAATGTGTTACCGAATAGCCTTCGTTTTTTTAGGGGACAGAGTGGAAATACGGGTAATCAGCCATTTGTCTGATATGTTTCAATAAACGATCGAAAAATTGCAATGATGCCTCCCAGGCAAGGTATGAATGACTGGAAACTGAACTCAGCACGAACAGCAAATGAATGGCGTGTATCAAGTACGCCAGAGAACCCATTTAATTTTGCATTTAGTTGCTGGGGAAACACAATAAAGGCACGCACCAATATTTTTAACTTATTTGGTGGCCTTTGACCATCAAAATCTTAGAACTGTAGCGGCGTTCAGTTATGAAATTGTAATATTAGCTTCAATCGAAAGGCAGAACTCGAGTCGTAGTGACATTTGAATTTTAAGCTGCTTAAACAGTATTGTTACTCAACTTAACGTTTGTTCTTATCATGTTACGTTTTTGACCTAGAGAGCATGTGTTGATCCACTCTGAAACTCCTAAAACTTAGAGTTATTTTCTTTCATTTTGTTTCATTAAAACGCATTCACTGAACGATTTAGCAATTTAGGAAATACTTATCTATTACACTGTTGCGCTAATTAATCAGAGCGATACATGGAATATTGAGCAATGTTTTTGAAAAATTTATCACATTATTCTCAAAGAGGATACAGCTGTACATCGGAGAAGCTAGCAAACCTGTGTATATATATGTAGAAATTTTCAATGAAATTTTGCGTGCAATTATTATGTAAATTTTCTACGTGTCTGTGAAGTGAAAGTAATCAGAAAGAGAGAGAGGAAGCGCAAATATTAATGCAGTTGCAGAAGGCCTTGCAATTTTTGCATGCTAACGAATGCGGAAGATACGAAGTCAAAAAATCGAGTGACGAAGCATATGATTATCCATCTTCGCTGCCAAATATTTTTCATTGGAACTGGGTCAACAGGCAACCAAGCACAACTATTCCAGAATTAGATGTGAAAAGTGCGTAGAGAACAGTGAAAAGCAAAGAACCTGTGTTTGTTTGAAGTAGATGTACCGACTAAGTGACCAACTCTCAAGAACTCTAAACCTTCCTCGAAACTAAGCCGTTGGATTACAGCTTGATTGATCATCAGAACACATTCCGTGTTGAATTTCAATTAGTGCAGTGGCTCAGCAAATAATAAGACGTTGAATTAATTAATAAGAGATTGAAACATTTCGCAAAATTCAACAAGACAAAATTTAGTGAATTCATGAATGAGAAACGAATTTAGCGATCGAGCCACGTCAGTCCCTTCCCGTTTCCCCCTGCCCCTTCCATTCCTTCCCATCCCATACTTTGCCCCGCTATTCTCCGTTCGCCCTCTGTTTTCACTCGGGCATAAGATTCATCCCCCGATTTCTAGCAGTGTTTACATAATTCCTGAAAGCCCTTACCCTTTTGGTCGTCAAACTCATGTAAGCTATCGTCGTCCAAATTGTAGGCGGCGCTGTCTCGTCGCCCATCAATGCTGCCAGCCATTCCGAGTCCAATTCGCTGTAGTGAGTCGATGGATCGTACTGTTGCTGACGTTACTGTATTGTACACATCTGAGGAAGCCGGTGTTCCAGGAATTTGCGTCGCACTTTTTGGCCGATTTAGCCGGAATCGCCTTGACTTATGTTGCAGGATAGGTGTGATCGAGCCGCTGGCTAGTGTCGCTTCGCTACCAGAATAACTTGTTTCCCCCTCAGAGTCCTCTCGTGGTCGTGTTCGCTGATTACCTGGCAGCGTGCCGTCCTGAAGCACCATACCGGATGCAGTGCTTTTCACAGGTCGCACCGAAAATACTTTATGTTTAGCGGTTGTACTCATTTCCGGTTCTTCTTGATCATTCGATAATAAGTCGGAAATACTACTCGCATTCAATGAGAAGCATGTTTCACTAGCATATTTACGCAGTTTTCGATGGGCTAATGACTTGGCGAGAGGAATACGAGCAGATGCAGGTGTGAACAGCCGTGTGTAGGGCAGTTCGACACGTTTTTCCGGATTAATGAGAGGCAACTGAGCGATAGCCTGCTCATTTGCAGACAAACCCGTATCAGTGGAATCGTCAGAGACACAAGTGTTCTTGCACGACGCGCAGTGCTCCTGTTGCGACATCGGTACTTTTTCGTTTGTCGGAGTCGCTGGCATCGTGTCGCACCAGAAGACGTGTAGTTCGCTGAATAAACAGGCGTGGAAGCGCAAAAAGCACAGACAGTAGAAGTAGATTTTGTCGCGCTCACATAATTACTGTCCACCCAATTTCATGTCAACAGCGGGTCTTTTCTCATTTCCTCACTGAAACTTACATTTATATTAAAGAACACAAACCGAACAATATTAACACTGTGTCTCGACAGTCAGTTAAAAAAGATTCATTTTAACTAGTTTAACAATGTTCTGATCGGAGAAGAGTGTCCGTTGAAATGATTAAGCGGTAAATTTGCCCAAACGTCTTCTCCATATTTTTTTTTTCTGTAGGGTAGAAAGAGGCATTCGCACATGGACTCAATAAAAGCCGGCAACAGCCACTTGCTAGCCGAACTGACAATAATCCTCTATTCCAAGACATTTCAGGAAGCAAGCTTAAAGCAATTTGACAGCGCATCAGAAAGACACTACCGCTTCGAGCTAGTAATTACACGCGGGAACTATTTCTACTTATGATGGCTTCAGGCGGAACCAGCGGTTTTATATTAGCCCTACAGATCGCTGCAGTAACGGTACGATAATTTCTTCAATTTTAAAAATCCCTTTTAGGTTGGTGTCCGAGCATAAAAAATTTAGAAAAATCGCGAATTTTTTGCGGAGACTTGCTTCTTCATTCCAACATATTTACACAAAGCTTACAGAATAACACAGTAGGTGGTATTCGCAAGCAACAATAACGTTTAGTGAATTGATAAAACAATCCTGGCAAGAAGTAAGTAAACACACTGCATCTTCTTGCCATTCCAAATCAGCTATTACATGAAAGAGGGAATGGGCGTGAGAAGGCGAGGTGACTAGTAGCTAAAGGACTGAGCTAAGGGCTAGAAGCTAAGCTAAGCAGAGGCTTGTGGAGCCGAATGAATGCCTGCCATATCTCATCCAATTCGTCATTTTTCATGCTAAGAAACAATTGCCGATATTATTTTTTTAACCATTTGTTCATACTCATTTTGTGATCATTTAAAAAAATTTTAAAGACAGACTGAAAAATTTGGAATCAGTAGCGAAAATCTCTAGACTCTTCTAAAATTGTAACTCAATTACTTCTGGAAGCAATCAAAGAACCAGTACCAAAATACTTTTTCTTGCGCGTTTTTGCGAAATGATTTATGTCAATAATCAACTTTTGAACTGAACCATGGAGATGAAAGTTGCAAAGTAGGGACCTTAGCTGTACAAATTAATTCACATCTCATTATGTGTCCTGACCGGTGACTTCAGGATCACTTGAGAGATAATTTTTTTCTCAAGAAAGGGCAAAGAATTAGGAATTAATGAACCAAAATCTCATCGCACACTTGATCTGGATCCAAACTCGGGCCAGTCTCAGTTCTTGATGATTAATAAAGACTAGAAACAGTGCAGGTTAAATTAAGCGAAAATATGGAGCGGATTAAAAAAAGTCACAATAATTCTCAAATTTTTACTGTAAATCGGCTTAAAACTCCAACTGTCTCTTATGTTTCCAGAACAAACAAAGCTTAGCATTCAAAATTACAGAACTAAGTCACTAAACGGTGCAAGCTGTAGCATACAGATTTCACTGCAACTTAACCGTGAATCCAAGCTGAGACTAGAATCAAGACTTTAAAATAAATAAAGTTACAAACGAAAACATCAAGTCCTACTCTGCCGTTTTATTTAAATATTCATCGATTGATGAGGTGCAGTAAACAGCGATGTACCCGAGGCCAGGCAAAGTCGTGCAGTGAATGCCCAGTATGCATAAGAGCTTATTGTTATCTTTCAATCCGTGGAGCCTGAGGTAAACACCAACTTTCGAATTCTGCTCTAATGTTACAGCTTTACAACATATTCAGTGCACGGAACTAGAGAAACAGACAAGATAGGAGGTGGATTTTTTTCCACAAGGATGTTTTGTACCCTTGTGTGAGCTAAGGATTTCAAATTCAGCTTTATCGCACGACTTTATGTCAAAGTTGAGACTGAGAGGTCGCTGGCAAAATGTCAACTCAGAAACTAGGCTGTGAGGAATACTTCGATCTTACGAGAATATTTGCTCTGCAATGCGGGCCCATAAACGTACCACTGACAGTATACGTTTTCGCATGCATAGATGCAAAAACAGAAAAGCATAAAATGATTAAATTAAGCTAACCACAAAATTCACATCAACACACTGAGCTGTACTAGTGATTAAGAAATCAAATACGCTTTGTTGGGCGTTGTTCAAAAAACTGGTAGTGAAAAAAAAGGAAAGAGTGCGACTTTGTTGGCAGAAAGGTATTTACCTATGAAACCCTCTTCCGCTGAAAATTACCGTAACCGGATCACACTTTTCGAACTGCACGTGTAGAACACTGGTTCGAAGAGACTGTTTAGAAAAGCCGCTTGAGGAGAAAAGAAAAAACTTCCCATGCTGAACAGCAAGCAGCCCCGAACCGCACAACGGCCCAGATATGACTGGGGCAAAATGAAAGAGTTTTTAAATCACACATCTGTTTGCACCACAATTATTTCAGTGAAAAAGAACTTTTCTCTAAAGCATCGATTTCATGGCTTTTTCCATAGAACACTACGCCTACTGCAGTGCTTCTTCTATATATCCTATTTGCATCACCTCGAGTAACCGTGCTTATGCATAATTTCTGAGACCCAGTTCTGAAAATACGACTACGAAAGCAATGCGGGAGAAAGCGAAAAAGATTTTGCACATTCTTACTAGCAATGCCGTTAAGACTTTCACACATCAGTAATCCTTTTAAGCTCATTATGCGTTTTTGCATACGCGCAAATGCAAACTCAGGCTGGAACGCACCAGTCTCCCCGGTGCGATCATGCTTTTTTGCACTAAACTCGCAGGTCGTTATTAGCTGGAATGATCCCTACGCTGTAGCCTAACACTTGGGCTAATACGGGCCGTTATTTGATCCTTACCAGCATGCAGGAGGAAGACATCAGTAGGGATGAAGGTGGTGCATTACAACTGGGATGAAAGTAGTGCACATCCAGGTGCGTGATTAACTGTTTTTTGCATGTAGTCCGGTCGTTTTTATGCGTTTTTGCCTATATGCAAATTGCAAAAACGCATA